GTTATCTGCACCAGGATTATCCTTTTAAACTTAAGCGTCTAAATCTCTTTTTTGTCTGTCTTCATTTAACCAGACTGTGCATCACAATGCATACTATGAAGATCCATATGCACAGGAATTTGGCATAAAAATAGATGAGCAACTTGCATCTGTTGAAGCTCGTGTTCTGCCTCCGCCAAGGGTAAGTCAGTTTTCTATTGCGATTAGACAGCAGTTGATTTCATATATGTGCATAGCAGCTGACTGCATGCTCTTTTTTATAGCTTAAGTACCATGATAGTGGCAGAGAGAAGGATGTCTTACCCAGGGTCGGCCAATGGAACATGATGAACAAGGTAGGTCTTGGTGATGTAACGGAAGAATTCTACGGAAATAATTTTAAAACAAAGTCATGCATAGATAAAAAAATGATATGTGAAATAAAAATAGAAGTGGCAACGAATCACACAACTGGGACCGAATCACACAACTGGGAAACAATTAACCATCTGAGCTGGAAATTATTTCTGGAATTGTCTGCTCAATGAACTATCAATATAGTAGCAAGAGTATCAACTTATTTGCAACATGCAGCTTTCATAAATACTAACTGTATCATAATTTTGCTGCTATCCTTCTTTCTCACTTTTTAGAGAACTGTCTAGGTTCACATGGGATAATTTTAAGAGAATGTGCACATCTTAAAACCATACTATTTGGGTGGATGCCCTCCATTAGCTTTGTTTCTTCAACCCATATACCCCCTTCATCTTGTGATGTTATGTTTTAACTAGTTCTCATACTTGTTCATTTTGGTGGGTAGAAAATGGTCAACGGTGGTAGAGTCAGCCACTGGGCATGTATTAACTTCTCTCGGAATGTTCAAGATAATGCTGCCAAGGTTTTCTGTCATGAGTTGGCTATAATGTGCCAAATATCTGGAATGGTATGGTTCGATCATGCAACTAGCTTCTCATATTGCTTTGGTTATTTTGTATTCTGTAGTCATCGACTTCTCTTTTTCTATGTCTTAGAACTTTGCACCTGAACCTGTGCTGCCCGTACTTAGTGCGAGGCCTGAACACGTGGAAAGAGCACTGAAGGCACGTTATCATGATGCCATGAACGCAAGCAAACCCCCGGGCAAAGAACTTGACCTGCTAATTGTTATACTGCCAGATAATAATGGTTCTCTTTATGGTATGATCTCTTCCAAAGCACGTTTGAAGATTCCCAAGTGCATACTTTTGCTTATTATTTTTTTGTTTTTTTTTCTCCAGGGGACCTTAAAAGAATTTGTGAGACTGAACTTGGATTGGTATCCCAGTGTTGTCTTACAAAACATGTTTTTAAGATGAGCAAGCAGTATCTTGCAAATGTAGCTCTCAAAATCAATGTTAAGGTACTTCACTGACCTCCAACCATTCCTTCTCTATAATAGACCTTGTGGTTTATTTATTTTCCTACTTCTCAGGTGGGGGGAAGGAATACTGTTCTTGTGGATGCTTTGGCAAGGAGGATTCGCCTTGTTACCGACAGACCGACCATAATATTTGGTGCTGATGTTACACATCCCCACCCTGGAGAAGATTCTAGCCCTTCCATTGCAGCTGTAAGTGACTTGATATTATAAAGATATGTCTTGAGATGTAATTGAAGGTCCACAATTTTTCTAGGTGTGTTGGAAGTTCTGTGGTTTTATTGATTTTTTGATAATATTCTCTCCTCTAGGTGGTTGCTTCTCAAGACTGGCCTGAGATAACAAAGTACGCAGGATTAGTGAGTGCCCAAGCCCATAGGCAAGAGCTGATACAGGATCTTTTTAAAGTATGGCAAGATCCCCAAAGAGGAACTGTGACTGGCGGCATGATCAAGTAAGCTCTTAGTGAGCTAAGGAGAGACATTAACTCTATATTTGGATGCTGCTAAAAGTGTATTTTCTGTTAAATTTGCAGGGAGCTTCTCATATCTTTCAAGAGGGCAACTGGACAGAAACCTCAGAGAATCATATTTTACAGGTTCATAGCCTTTCTTGCGCATCTTTGCTAAAGCATGATTGCCTATTATTAAACAACCGGTATTTTCAGGGATGGTGTCAGTGAGGGACAGTTCTATCAAGTTCTTTTGTTTGAACTTGATGCCATTCGTAAGGTACAATTTGTTTGACTATACTTTCTGTAGAAGCTACTCTTAACCATATTTTAGTTGGTAATATTCCACATTTTTTCCCTGACTGATATTTCTTAACCATGTTGTTAGGCCTGTGCATCCTTGGAGCCCAACTATCAGCCTCCAGTTACTTTTGTGGTTGTCCAGAAGCGTCACCACACTAGGCTTTTCGCTAACAATCATAATGATCAGCGTACTGTTGATAGAAGTGGGAACATACTACCTGGTTAGTTTCTTGTGCAAACAAGTTTTTTGTGCTTGGTGAAATTTTGAACTTCACCATTTTTATGCTTCCGAATTGTAGGCACCGTTGTTGACTCGAAGATCTGCCATCCGACAGAATTTGATTTCTACTTGTGCAGCCATGCTGGCATTCAGGTTGGCTTTTCTTCATTTTTGCAATGTGTTCATTTGACAAAATGTGCTGATTGCTGATTCGAGTGTGGATTCATTTCAGGGAACAAGCCGGCCTGCTCATTATCATGTTCTGTGGGACGAGAACAAATTTACTGCTGATGAGTTGCAAACTCTCACAAACAACTTGTGCTACACGTAATTTACTGTTATATCATGCCCTTCTAATAATTAAAACTCACTGCTGTTTCATTGTCTGATCAAACATTATTCTTTTGCTGTTTCAGATATGCTCGATGCACCCGCTCCGTGTCAATTGGTAAACTCCCAATCTACCGCGATCAACAATTTCCTCAAGCTTCTCGTACTAGATCCGATGCTTTTAAAAGTCAACTCTGACCATCGGTTGTTTGCTTGCTTGCAGTTCCTCCTGCATACTATGCGCATCTGGCAGCCTTCCGGGCTCGGTTCTACATGGAGCCGGACACCTCCGACAGCGGTTCCGTGGCCAGCGGTGCACGCGGCGGTCCTCCACAAGGCGGTCCACGCAGCAGCACCAGGTTTGGGAACGTTGCTGTCAGGCCTCTCCCCGCCCTCAAGGAAAACGTCAAGCGCGTCATGTTTTACTGCTAAGACCCTGGCGGTTACCGTGAGGGTACTTGAAGCACCTGCGAGTAGTATTGGTGATGCTGTTCAACACCATTGTGCAAACCTATGTCGAAGTATCTGTTGTACTCTGTTTTATTGCTTGCCTAGGGTATTCTAAGTACTTGCACCGGATTGGCGATTGGTGCAAGCTATTTGACTGGATTGGGTGTTAGCTTATCTGTGGTGCTGTGCCTTGTGAGATATCTGCGTAGCCATCTACATTTGTATAACTGGTGTTTAAAATATTTATGAACCTGAGTCATGGAATCACTTGCTGGCATGTGTTTTTGTTGTCTTGCATGGTTGCATACAACGGTAAATTCTTGGGGCTTGTCTGTATGAAAGCATTTCTAGTGAAAGAATAGAACACTGGCAAACGACTGCATACTCTTGATAATTTTGCAGGCTTATATTTTCTGAATTGAAGTTAGCAATGTTGAAGATGGATACAATGATAGCAAAATCAGAGAGTTAGTAGTACATCTTTACACTGACCACCACTGACATTGCGTGTATAATCCAGGCCAATGATTACCACCTGTGGAGTAGTGTTTTAAGTGAAAAACCCCCTGTTGGCTTTACATGGCATGGCATCATGTTTTCGCATCCAGCTAGGATCCTGCGTAATATATAAATTATCTTTGTGATCCTATGAATCAATTCAACTAAAATCTTAGATTCATACTAGAGCCACGATGATTTAGTCTTAAGCTAAACAAAAGGTAAGGGTTCTTTGAATAAGAATCGCTTACCCAGTAGGTACCATAAGTGCAGCCCTGCAATTCCACCCATTTGTCCACTTCGCTAATTTTGGTCAACTGTAGACACACCATAGTTCATCACCAATTTCGACAAATGCTAACATTTTTATTGCCAACTTCAGCAAAGTACATAGTTTTCAAATGCAAATTTAATTAAGTATATACATAGTTTAGTACATTTCCTCAAAATGTCAGCCTAACACTAGCTATGGAACATGTTCGTTATCCGGCAACATGGAGATAGGTGGGGTGGCAACACGACGAGCGATAGAGCGTGACTGGGCTGGGAGGAGCTGCCTTCATCCGACGGGAGATCCGCGGCTCCGGGAGGGGTCAGCATTGTCTGATGGGGAAGAGAAGGCGGAGACTAGAATATAATCTACTCCTTAGGTGAAATCGTAGGATCAACCCCAAAAAAAATTCATATTAAAACAATTTAAAACAATTATGAAATTATTCGACAACATACTAGTTGCCCCAAGAGAGGGGAGGCTAGAATAGAATCTTCTCTTAACTTCACACATCAACCGTCTATGTCAGCGCAAATCAACCTGTAGTTGGATGGTTAGGGTGACAATGATATTCCCAACCCACAAGAGTTCATCAGAGTTCAAGTTCTAAACTTGACATTGGTGCTTCCCGATGATGTGTGTGTTTAGTGGAAGGAGATGTTCCGTCGACAACGAAAACGTCTGTGGCAACTTCATCAAGCCCATGACGATATGCCGGCTCAGTTTTGTCGGGGTGCTCACGTCGATGTGAGTAGGTGGGGTCCGCACCCCCTCCGTGTCGGCTCTCACGTCTCCCCTCCCGCAGGCCACAGGTGCACGACGGGGAAAGGAAATCATCGACCCCCAACGGTCCAAACCCTAACTAAACCCACCCCACCCACCCTCGATCGATTCCCTGCCAAATTCAGGCCACCGCGGCGGCCGCCTTCAAATCCCCCACCCCCCAAACCCCTCGATCGATCGATCAATCCGATCGATGCGACTAACCTCCCACCCGATTCGGCGGAGGCGGCGGCGCGACCCGCAACCCTAGCACCCAACCCCGCCCCGGATCCGCCCGCGCGGGGGGCGTCGAGGCATGGGCGGCGGCGGCGGCGGCCCCGACGAGTTCGGGCGGGCGGCGGCGAGGGCGGCGGCGGCGCGGGCGCTGCAGGCGGCGGGCTTCGCCTCCGCGACCCGCTCGGCGGTGGACGCGCTCGCCGACGTCCTCCTGCGCTACCTCCGCCTCCTCGGCGGCGCCGCCAACGCCCACGCCAACTTTGCCGGCCGCTCCGCCCCCAACGAGCTCGACGTGCTGCGGTTCCTCGAGGAGACCGGCGAGACCTACCAGGGCTTCGAGGGCGCCTCCTTCTCCACCCGCGGCTGCCTCGTAAGCTCCGGCGTCGTCAAGGATTTGATCGCGTTCGCCGGCGATGCCGATGACAGGCCGCTCTCCGCGGGGCGGCCGCTGCCCAGGTTTCCGGTCCGGCACGATCCGTCGTCGTGTGCTAGCTTTGCGGCGCTGGGCCGGGGGAGCGGGATGCGGCATGTGCCTGACTGGCTCCCGGCCTTTCCGGAGCCCCACACGTATGCGATTGCCGAGGAGGAGCCGGGCGAGATGGTCGGCGGGTCGTCGGCTGCGGTGGACGAGGTCGAGCAGGCGTGGCGGCAGAGGAAGGCCGAGAAGTCGCTGCTCGGTTTGCAACGGCAGCTGGCGCTCGCGGGTGGCAACGGGATCCGCCCGGCGGCGGTGGTGGAGGAGGGTGCTGGCAAGGAGAAGGAGCTAGATAGGGCTGTCGTCAAGAGCAATCCGTTTATTCAGTCGGCGTTGCGTTGTGGGGATAAGGAGGTGTCGGAGGTTGGCATGCCGAATTTGGGGAAGAAACACCCTGTTCTTGATGATGCCTTTGCACCTGCTTTCGCTGAATCAGAAGGTGAAGGACTTGATGAGGGGAGGAGGGACCAAGACCAAGGTCGAGGTCGGAAGAGGATGGTTCCAAAGGAGAGGCCACCGGTGTATTTTCGGATTGGGCCTGATAGGAAGTCAAGGGTGATGGCATTGAATTCAAGAGCCTTGGAGGACCGTGAGGGCCCCTTGTTCCTGGAGGATGATCGGAAGCGGAGGGCACTGTCGATACTTGCGGAACCAATGGAGAAGCCAGGCTGATCTGCTTTACACTTAAGAGTTCGTGCTGATGCTGCCCGCCTGTTTCCCACCGATGATGCTTGCTTCTCCACACCTGCGATTCTTCACCTCTTCCTGGTGCTCACCTTGGAGATCCTTGCCAGCTTTCACTGCCATTGACGGGAAACATATTGTTGATAGAAACAGGAAACATACTGCCTGGTTAGTTGGTTGTGAAAACAAGCTTTTTGTATTCATCTCAATTTTGAACCTGACAATTTTTATTTCTATAGTTCCATCCACCGTTATTGATTTGAAGATTTGCCATCTGATGGAATTTGGTTCCTACATATGTAGCTATGCTGGCATTCAGGTTGGCCTTCCTGTATTTGCAATTTATTTAGATGGATTTGGCCAATTGCTGATTCGAATGTCGATTCCTTTCAGGGAACAGGCCGGCCTGCGTCATTATCTTGTTCTGTGGGACGAGAACAAATTTACCGCTGATGAGTTGCAAACCCTACACGTAATGTACTATTCTATCCAACTTCTTGACAATTAGAATGCTGTTTAACTGGCCAATTAAATATAAAATTCCTACTGTTTCATGCTAGGTGCACGCGCTCTGTATTGATCGGTAAATTCCCCACTTGAAAATCACTCCCTTTAGGTTTCTCATGCTAGGTTGAACGCTGCAATCGCAGTCCCTCCGGCGTATTATGCACATTTGGCAGCCTTCTGGGCTTGATTTTACACGCAGCTGGATACCTCGGAGATCTGGTTGCTAGCGGTGCACGCAGTAATAGGGCATTTTGGGAATGTTGCTGTTAGGCCTCTCCCTGGAAAATGTCAAGCGTGTCATGTTTTACTGCTAAGGTTGTGGCGGTTCCATTGATGTCGATGTTTTTTAAGTGCCCGCGAGCTGTACTGTGCTGATTCGGGTGTGAAAGAGTTATTGTTCTGTTTAATCTGTTGAGGAGCCAATGTTATGGAATCACCTGCAGCCTCTGTCCACTTGCTGGGTTTAAGGGGCCTGTGTTTTTTGCTGTCTTAGATGATGTCCATAATTTTTCTCACCGACATGGTGTTTCTTGAAATCATTGTCCATATCTGGCATAAATATAGCATGACTAGTTGATGTAGAAAATGTTGATGGTAAAGATATGCTTACAACTAACTAACAGGATCTAAGTATTCATTTTGTACATGCGATGCTAAACAAAGATTGTATAGTTCAGGAAAAATGTTTTATCTTTGAAACTGTGTATTTAAAAATGTTTAACATGTAGGAGTATTTTGGAAAAAAATGTTCAAAACATGTTTTTGTAAAAATGTAAAACATTTAAAAAAAATACGTACACGAAAAATATACTATGTATAAAAAGTAGACATAAAAATATATTAAAAAATGTTAATCCAGTATTTGAAAAATGTTAAATGTGTGTAAGTAAATGTTACTAATGTATAAGAAAAAACAATATATGTCTGAAAAATGTAGCATGTGTTGGAAATAGAGAAAAAGGAAAATCAGCAAAAAACCAAAAATGAAAGAAAGGAAAAACAAGAATATCAAAGATATGAAAGAAAAGCAAGAAATAAACAAAAGAAATGAAAAATATAACAAAGAAAGAAAAACCAATACTCCAATGAGGAAACAAAGAAAATCAAATAAAAATGAAAGGAAAAGGAAAACCGATAAATACAAATAAAAAGGAAAAAGAAAGAAAGAAAAACGTAGTCAATTGGACCTACGCGACCACTACGAGATGAGCGATCCTACGCGTGGTAAAATGGGCCGGCCTGTACTGTCAATCTTAAGCGAAGGAATCAATTCGGGCGATATATAGCCCTGCTCGGGGATCATATTTGGCGCGTGGGTTGCGTTTTCCTGTTATGTTTCATTAACTTTCTTTTTTATTTTTTTCTTGCCTTTTCCCCTTTTCATTTTTATTTTGCGAACAATTTCAAGTTTATGAACAATTTTTCCTGGATATCGTAAACATTGTTCAATTTCGTGAATAGTTCTTTGAGTCATGAATATTTTTTGAAAATCAAGACCGTTTTCTTGAATGGGCAAACATTTTTTGAAATTGTGAACTATGTTTTGAATTGGAAATGTTTCTGAACTAATGGAATTTTTTAGAAATTTGGGAACAATTTTTTCTACAAAATCTCGAATACTTTTGAATTCTTGCACATTTTCAAATTCACAAATATTTTTTGAATAAGCAAACATTTTTGTACGAATATTTTTTTCTGAAACAGTGTATTACCAAATTTGTCATCATTTTTTGAATTTGGAACTTTTTTGAAATTCATGAACAATTTTTCAACATTTGACATTTTTTGGAATTTTGGTATCTTTTTTGTAATCCTGAATGTTTTAATGAATAATAAAACAGAAACAGAAAATAAATAAGAAAGAAAGGAAAAAAATGGGGTGTCCATCTCCATAAATGGACCGGCCCAAAGAAAGAAAGAATGCACGTTGGCTCGTTAGGGAATGCGCACCACGCAAAATAGGAGCTTCCATCCCAGGTGTCTTGAACCGAAATCACTAATCAGGGGCATCCCAGGTGTCTCTTTCCAGGTTGCGGCAAGTGGGGCACTGTATGTGTGCCAGTTGTCGCAACCTGAGAGTTTTCTCATTTTTCAAGATTTATTTATTCAAAATGTTGTATCTCTTAATCCGTGCGTCCAAATCTCAAACCATTTTCGTTGTTGAATTTTTCACGTCGAGATCTTCAAAATTAGATCCCATGTTAAGAGGTTTCCATGAAGTCTTTTTTCATAAAAAAATGGAAGAGAAAATACCCGAGCCGAAAGTGCACGAGTTGTCACAACCAGGAAGTTTTCTCATTTTTCGTAGATTCATTTATTCAAAATGTTTGATCTCTTAATCCGCGCATCCAAATCGCAAACCATATTCATTGTTGAATTTTTCGCGTCGAGATCTTCAAAATTGGATCCCATGTTAGAAGTTTCGACGAAGTCTTTTTTCATGAAAAAATGGAAGAGAAAATACCCGAGCCGGAAGTGCACCAGTTGTCGCAATCTGGGCGCGATATACTGTAGTGTACCGACTAAAGCATTTTTGGTTGGATTTCTAGTAACTCTGTATCTTTTATTGGTTTATTTATTTCCAGTCATATTTCATTTGGTTTTTAAAAAATATATTTATTATATTAAAAAGATAAAATAGTTTGAAAGTTGGAGAAATTATGAAAGGAGAGAGATGGGAGAGATAGGGGAGGGCACCGACGCTCAGAGAGATGGGTGAGATAGGGGAGGGCACCGCCAGCAGCGGAGCTCGCCATCGAGGGACATGGACCGCACCTCGATGCCCCTCATTGACGCGTAGCTCCGGCCGGAGCTCATCCATGGCGGTCGTCGTCGCGCCTTCACTTCATGCCCTCATTCACCATGCTACACAGGCGGCCGTCGTGACTTCTCGTCACCTCGCCGGCGCCGATGGAGGTGAGCAGCAAGGGGAGGCCGAGGCAGGCGATTGGGAGGAAGGTGGGGGCGGGGGAGAGAGGAGCAGGAGGAGGAGGAGAAGGAGGCGGGGCATCGCGGAGCCATCTTTCCATGCCGAGCTCGCCGGCCAGGATCTCGCGCGCACGTCCTAGGAGAGGAAGGGGGAGCCAGACCTTATCCTCTTATAGGCCCTTTTGCAGTTTAGTATATGTTATTCTATCTATTTGTGATTTTGTCATATCATGCCATGTCACCCTGTCCACTGGGACCCAACTGTCATAATCATGCTCAAAACGGCCTAAGCTACCGACTAGTGTTTTTTTTGCAAAAAACATTAGCCTCAGAATTAGTGGTCTTAGACATAAAACCGTAGAAGTGTGATTTCTGCAACACTAGTCTTTAATGTCAATGTTATCTACAATCCACTCACTTCCTTCACGCCAGAGGCTACCTTCTTTACGTGAGACATGCACCCACATGTGCGTAGGTAGTGCACATTGGGATTTTGGTCATATAGAGCCTCACACCAAGTGCTTCCGTTCAGACCGTGCGTAGGCGACCTCTTCAACATGTGTTCCAATGACAAAGACAAGCTTCGGTGCCCTGAGTCCGTGCAACCTCCACTCTCGCGGTCTTCACACATGGTTCATGATTTTTCAGCAGGTTTGAACCTCGACGTCGGAATGCAAGCACACACCCTGCCGCTGTTGGTCTGACATACACGCACTTGTAGAGCCTCAACCATGTCCCGGTGGGCTCATGGTTTTCCCTAGTGATGGGTAGGCCGAGTACAATGCATAGAACCACCACTTTAGCGTCATAGCTTTTGGAAAACCAACACTTTACAAAATATGACACTTTGCACCGAATCCAAAAATTGACAGTGACAAAAACATTGATGGTAGATGCTAAGGGTTTCGATGACGTCACTAACCGGAGCGGCCCATCCATCAGAATTAGTTGGCAGGAAAAAACTGCCACGTAACCATATTGACTTGGTCTTCTTCTTCCTCTCCATCTCTCTTTGTGGCAATACATCAAACACCTGTTGAGCATGGTGTTGGGGAACGTAGTAATTTAAAAAAAAATTCTATGCACACGCAAGATCATGGTGATGTATAGCAACGAGAGGGGAGAGTGTTGTCCACGTACCCTCGTAGACCGTAAGCGGAATCGTTAGCACAACGCGGTTGATGTAGTCGTACGTCTTCACGAGCCGACCGATCCAAGTACCGAACATACGGCACCTCCGAGTTCTGCACACGTTTAGCTCGATGACGTCCCGCGAACTCCGATCTAGCAGAGCTTCACGGGAGAGTTCCGTCAACACGACGGTGTGATGTTGCTACCGATGCAGCGCTTCTCCTAAGCACCGCTACGATATGATAGAGGTGGAATATGGTGGAGGGGGCACCGCACACGGCTGGGAGAGATCAACATATCAACTTGTGTATCATGGGGTGCCCTAGCCTCAGTATATAAAGGAGGAGAGGAGGGGAGGGGCCGGCCCTCTCTATGGCACGCCCTGGGGAGTCCTACTCCCACCGGGAGTAGGATTCCCCCCT